ACCTAAGACTCCCTGTTCCTTGTCCCCTAACTGCCCCCTCCTAAGACCCCCCCCAACTGCCCACCAGGACCCTACCCCCTACCTGTACCCTGACTGCCCAAAACTTTCTCCACTCCCCCCAAAAACCCCCCCCCGTTTCTTGACTGCCACCTCCAGAACCTTCCTGCCCCCTGGCCCCCTTACCCTGCTGCTCAGAACAGGGTGTTGGGCTCTGTGAGAGCCGGACACGTGGCTGAGCTCCCCAGCACAACAAAACCCGGTCCCTGGCCCTGCACAACACAAAACCCGGTCCCTGGCCCTGCACAACAAAACCCGGTCCCTGGTCCGGACCGGGTTGCAGGGGAGAGCTGCCCTTGTATCAGCACAAAGTGCTCTCGCTCCCGTTTTGCTACGCTGCATGGCAGAAACCGCTCCCAGTTGCAAAAGGGGAGGGCTGCACTTTGTGCTGAGACACTTGCTCAGAATGCAGGGCGGATCCGGCTCCTCTACAGCTGCTCCGGAGTCCAGCCCGGGACTTCCCTGCAGCCCTCCCAGCCCCTCGCTCTGCTCTGCCTGGGGGGGAAATCCCGGACATTGTGAGTGCTTTACAAATTCCCCCCGGACGCTATTTTTAGTACAAAAAGGAGGACATGTCCGGGTAAATCCGGACGAATGGTAACCCTAAGCACAGGCCTCTCGGCTGCCCCCAGCATGGGCCCAGCTGTGGAGCTGGCTCCAATGCCAAGGGCTCGCTCTTTGGAGTGGTGGGTGGGGCTGGGTGCTGGGCAAACCAAGCCAGCCGAGGCCTCCGGAGAAGCTCATGCACTCGCTGGCCTGTTAACGCCTGGGCACTGCCTGCAAATCAGACAACACAAAGGCCTTGAACTGGTGCCCTGAGGTGCAAGGCTCTGCCCGCTGTCCCCCACCCTGAGCTAATGGCACTGTGACACTTCACACTAGCTGTGGCTGTGCCCCAAAGCGGCTAGCAGAATGACCATGGCTTTGCTGTGTCTGCTCTCGTCCCTAATCAGGACTGGCCGGGGTTGTAGTCGGCTCCTGCCAGCCAAGACAGCTGTGCCCCTGGGTGTATCTCACAAGGGAAACGCCAGCCTCCACCCTGCCGTGGTACCCACGAGAACTCTCTGCCCACAGCGGCGGGATGGCCGCGGGAATGGAGCCGGGTTTAACGCTGAACAGACCAGGGAAGACGTAGCCTCGGGGAGAGGCCACCCCCGCCTGCCGCTGCTCTGCCTTTCAGATTGGCTGGCAGGGCTCAGCCGGCGGGCCCCACAGCGTGGCAGCTGCCGGGGGCTGAGCGTGGTGGAGCGGGAGAGGACCTGGAGGGCTCTGATGTCCAGATTCCCTGCAGGCCCCCGAAGCTTCCCGACTAACCCCCTCCCTGCGATGGGCAGGAGGCCCTCTGGCCAGACACCCCAGGGGATGCTCCTCGGAGACCATCTGCTCACCCAAGCCCGCGGTAAGTGGTGACTCTCGGGAGGTGCTCCCCCGTGCAGCTAGACCCCGGGAACACTCTGTTGTACGGCACACCTGGCACTGCCCAGCAGTCTCCGAGCCCGGGCTCTGTCAGGCCCCAGTCTGTGCCAAGAGGGATCTCTCCTGTCTCCTCTCCTTGCCGGGGGCTTGTGCATTTCCAAAGTGATCCCAGCTGGCTTTACCACCTCCCTTTGGTATTGTTACTACCAGAGCTGCTGGAGGTCCCAGCTGAGCTCAGGGCACGGCCCCAAAGAGCTTAAGGCCCCAAAGAGCTTACAGCCTCAAGAGACCAAGAGTGGCAAAAGGAACTAAGGCACAGAAAGGGGAAGCGACTTGCCCAAGGTTACCCAGCAGGTCAGTGGCAGAGCTGGCAATAGACCCTGGGTCCCCTGAGCCTGTCCACCCCACTAGCCACTAGGCCACACTGCCTTCCCTTTTCTGCTCCTTCGACCTTCCCATCCTCCCTCACTGCAGACCCCCCGAGCTCCCAGTTCTCAGGGCTATGGCCCAGCTCAGGAGAGGTTCTGTTCTGAAGGAAATGTCCAGTGCCTCCCAGTAGCTACCTGCAGTCACAGGGCAGAGGCCCTGAGCTGGGTCCTCCCCGGGCGGCGCTGCCAGGTCTCTGCACTCCGTGAGCAGGCTGGCTTGGCCGAAGGCGAGTTCCAGATCTCAGGGCCAATCCCCGTGGCAGTAAAAGCATTGAGCGTCTGTGTTTCTCCAGCCGCCCCAGAAGGAAGATGCGGGCGGGGCCAGCTGCACCCCCTGGCACCACGGCCTCAGCGGGGAGACAAGAGTTTGCAATGGAAAGCAGCCATGAAAAGCAGGTAAATGGGGAGGGGAGGAAGAGGTGGGACAGCAAACAGGTGACACCCCCGATGGGAGAGGGGAACGGGAGCCATTACTCAGCCCTGTGCAGTGGGAGGTGTCAGGAGGCTGGACTGTCTGTGGGCTGTTCCTGCTCCTATGTCCTGGAATTGCGGCTGTTGCTGGCTTCCAGCCCAGCTGGCATGTCCATACTCCCCTGGCTTCCCGGCCACAGCACTGCCTTGACCCTGCTCTGGGTGCCAGTGCAATTCCATGGCCCGCCTCCAGGGGGTGCTGCAGAGCTCCCCCCTCTATGGCCAGGAGCGGGAGTTTTGGGGACTAGTGACCTGCTCACTGCCACTCCCACCAGGCCAAGCCCTCCTTGCACTGAATGAGCCCCTCTGTGCTGGCCTCGGCCAGCTTCTCCCCCCCAACCCCCCGGCTGGGACATGGCCCTGTTCCAAGCGCTGAGGCTGGTGGAGATGGGTGGATTCAGTCATTTTTGCCTTCCAGGAACCGTGGCCCTTTGGATGAGAAACTGAGGACGGAGCTGCTTGTACTGGTGGGCGCCGCTGTGGCCATGCCCTGACAAGCTGTGGTCCTGGGTAATGCCCTGTGCCATCTCCATGGCCTGACTCAGCGCTGACGGAGGCCTAGGGAGCAGGAAATCATCCCTCGAGTCTGGATTTCTCATACAGACCTGACCTGACCTCATGTCTCCGCCTACCCGAGTGGTCCCCGGGGGCTTTACACACCCTGGCTTTGATGTCTGCAGTGAAAATGCCTGGGAACTCGACTGTCTCCCCAGACACCCACTGGCAGAGTGGAGCAACATCTCATCTAGAGCTGGCACCTGCTCCAGCTGCCTGCCCTGGTGCCGCTCTGCAGGGACCCCAAGCCCTGGTACAGGACTGGAACCCACAACCGTTAGATTAGAGGGAACACCCCTGGGCAGTGAGGGGCTCTGGGTACAGCCAGGGTGGGTGGCTTGCTGGAGATTAACACACACACACTCAGTGTGTTACTCTCTGACCCCCATTGGCCAATGACAGGAGGGCAGGAAGATTACAGACAGGGCCTGGAGGTGGGGACGGAAAGTGATGAGAAATGGGGGGCCCTAGAGGCCCCCTCGTCTCTGCTGTCCAGCCTGCGGTGCTGACACAGGGCCACCAGCCACAGCTCTCATCTTGTCACACACCCGAGGTTTGCCAGGCCCAGAACTCGCATCCAGGCCCCAGACACGACTCTCCTGGGATTGTCCCTAGAGCTAAATAGCTTTGGAATAAACCGTCTCTGTTCCCTGGGCACAAACAACCTGAGAGAGGGTGCCTGGCAAACTCATCCCCCAACAGAGGGCACAGCACCTTCTCCAGCACACACGTGCACACGCACAAGAGGGTGTCACGCAAGGATTCACCAAACATGCCCGCTCACCAATCGAGGGTCCCCCTCCACGTCATCCATCACAGGTACCTGTCACAGAAGCAGAGGCTCAGACCATGCCCCCCCTCCCCCACACACCTGACAAAGCCCCCAAGTGGGACCCCAGGTGAGGGACACAAACGATACCTTTTCTGCAGGAGACAGAAAATGCTCTGGGATTTGTGCCAGGCTCTTCCGGTTCGAGCTGCAGTAAATCATTTTCAGCAATAAAAGGGAAACCAGGGAGGCGCCGGGCGTGTGTGTGGAATGTGGGTAACATTGGGACTAAAACCAGCAGCATCTCTGGGAACGAGGTGCACTTTAAGATGCCACCTATGGAGCCGCAGAGGCGGCCACAGACGGATTCAGCTGCAGAGAGCACCACAAACAACAGACGGCCAGCAGGGGGCGCCCCCACCCATTCAGCAGCAGAGGGCGCCTCGCATCAGATGGCGCGTTCACACCCATTCTGGACTACGGGGTCCACATGCATGTTCCTCCGGTGACCACTGCACGAAGTACTCTGGGCTTTGCCTCCCCCACACGTGCACTCGCCCACCGGCAGCGGACACCCGACACAGTCCCAGGAGAGGGCGCCACGCAAAGATGTTCAACGCTAGAGGGTGTCACACGCAAAAACACGCTTCCACAAAACCACACCCACACACCTCACACCCACATTCACCCACAGAGCGTGCCAAATGTATACAGTACAGTACTGCCAAGGGACGGACACACACACACACACACACACACACACACGGCGATGTCTCCCACAAAGGCCTTGTCTAACATAAGTCGTTGCAAGGCCTTACGGACACACCTCACAATGAGCAGGCCACTAGCGCCTTTGACTCCAATGGGTCCCCTCCCGTATGCACAGTTCTGTGTATCCCCGTCTGTAGTATCAGGGATCTCAGGAGCACATGTGCCCACATGCACACCCTTCCCCCCATGCAGACACACATGCAGACACACACGTGCATGCAGACACCCGTGCAAATACACAGGTGCACACGCACGCGTGCACACGCTGAGACACACACATATGGCGACAGAAACGCACGCCTGCACCCCCCCCCCGACACACGCCTGCACACGCGTAGACATGCACACACGACTGCGCTGCGGTTCAGCGAGGGGCGCCCCGGGGGGTCACACCGGCCCCTTGGCAGAGCCGTGCCCAGGGCAGCCGGCCTGTAGATGGTGCTGCTCGCCGGGCCGGGCCGGTCCCTCGCTGCCGGAGGAAGCAGGAAGCGCCGGGCCGGGAGCGCGGTCTAGGGGCTCTCCCCGGCCATGGTGAACCTGGGGCTGTCCCGGGTGGATGACACCGTGGCTGCGAAACACCCGGTCGGTGGCAGGGGCTGGGCGGCGCTGGGCAGCGGGGCGGGAGGGCTCGGATGGGGGCCCCGGCGGGGGCAGGGTCCGGGGCAGGGCGCTCGGTCCCCGCTCGCTGCTCGGCCGCCGCCCGGCGCACGGGCTGCCCCCGGCGGAGGGGGCTGGTGGCCGGGGGCTGCGGGGAGCAGATCGGGGCTGTGCGCTGCCCCCAGCCCGGGCCAGGACCTTCCCTCGCCAGCAGCCCCGGGCTCGAGCGGGCCCTGCCCAGAGCCCGGGCCCAGGGCAGCGGTGGGGTGAGGGGCCGGGGCCGCCAGGGGCAGGACCGGCTCGGAGAGGTGGAGCGGGGCGTAGCGGGCATTGCCCTGGCTGTCCTGTTTTCATAGCGGGGCGCGGCAGGGTTTGCCCCTGGCAGGGCACTGGGGACGGGGGGGACAGGAGGCGCTGGGGTCCCCGAGCCGCCCGCTGCGGGTGATGCACGTCGGGAGGGACAGGTGAGATTCCCGGGCAGGTGGCGGGGGTGGACTCGAGCCCAGGGTTTCCTCGTTTGTGGTTTTCACCCCATCTCGTCTGCTGCCCCCAACTCCCTTTCCAGGGGCTGCAGGAATACGCTGCGTGCCAGTCCCACGCGTTCATGAAGGGCATCGGGACCTTTATCACAGGTAGGGTGCAGCGGGCAGCCCTCCTGCTCCTCTGCAGGCAGACACCGTCGGGGCCACTGGGCATCACGGGGCCTGGGGGCGGGGAGGCCAGGTTTAGGGCACTAATAGTCACCCCCTCCCCCCCGCTCTGTGGCTCTCACTGCCCATTTGCATTCGCCCCCCCCCCGGCCCACTCATCCAGCTCCCAGCAATGGACCGGCCGGAGCACTGGGGACTGAGCCAAAGCTCTGGGCATCTTCCTCTCTCTGAAGGGCTGCCCCTCCCCCCCCCGACTTTGCGGAGTTTTGCTGGGTTTAGCTGGGGCTGCAAGAGGGACCAGTTCAAAGCCCAGATGCTCAGTGTGACAGTGCATGACTCCTCCCGGGGGCTGAGCCTGCAGGCGTTGGTCTCCAGGCCATGCTGTCCTTAGAGCTAGGGGCCAAACTGGGTTGGGGCTGTTGGTACATGGGTGAGAGTCCGTGGGAAAGGCAGGGCACTGCAGGAGTGGTTCAGCTGGTGGCACTCCTCCCCCAGTGCCCCAGCCTGGCACTACGGGCTGCCATCTTTTGGAGGAGAAATCAAAGCAAGGTCTCATCCATGTATAACTATCTCCCGTCCGGTGGGACTTTTGCAGGAGTCAGGGAATTAACCTGGCCACTTTCAGCTGGGTTATTGCATCCTGCCCCCCTGAATTTTCCTGCAGCTGCAATTGGCTCTGGTATTCGCAAGAGTGTTGTATTAGCAGGAGCGTTGTATTAGCAGGAGTGTTGTAAGCTAGACACAAGAAGTAATTCTTCCGCTCTACTCCACACTGATTAGGCCTCAGCTGGAGTATTGTGTCCGGTTCTGGGCGCCACATTTCAGGAAAGATGTGGACAAATTGGAGAAAGTCCAGAGAAGAACAACAAAAATGATTAAAGGTCCAGAAAACATGACCTCTGAGGGAAGATTGAAAAAACTGGGTTTGTTTAGTCTGGAAAAGAGAAGTCTGAGAGGGGCCATGATACCAGTTTTCAAGTACATAAAAGGTTGTTACAAGGAGGAGGGAGAAAAATTGTTCTTCTTCACCTCTGAGGATAGGACAAGAAGCAATGGGCTTAAATATTGCAGCCAGGGCAGTTTAGGTTGGACATTAGGGAAAACTTCCTAACTGTCAGGGTGGTTAAGCACTGGAATAAGTGGCCTGGGGGGGTTGTGGAATCTCCAACATTGGAGATTTGTAAGAGCAGTTAGACAGATATCTGTCAGGGATGGTCTAGATTGGGGTCCTCAACCTTTTTCTTTCTGAGGCCCCTCCCCCAACATGCTATAAAAATCTCCACGGGCCCCCCTGTGCCACAACAACTCGTTTTCTGCATATCCAGTCGATGAAAAGCCAGGGCTGGCATTACGGGGTAGCCAGCAGGACAATTGTCTGGGGCCCCAAGCCACAGGGGCCCCCGCAAAGCTAAGCTGCTCAGGCTTTGGGTTCAGCCCCGGGCCCCAGTGAGTCTAACGCTGGCCTTGCTCTCTGCTTATTTTGGCGGCCCCCCTGAAACCTGCTCGTGGCCCCCCAGTGGGCCCCGGACCCCTGGTTGAGAACCACTGGTGTAGATAATACTTAGTCCTGCCATGAGTGCAGGGAACTGGACTCAATGACCTCGCAAGGTCCCTTCCAGTCCTATGATTCTTCACTTCCTGTCCTAAATTGTTACCCTGGAGGGGCTGCAGTCAGTGTTGGCTGAAGGGATCCCTGTACTGTATAGTCAGCAGTGCTTGTTCTGTGCTTTGGGGTCTCTGGATGGAAGGCACTACCATTGCCGTGTGTTAGATTGCGCTGATGCCCAGCGTGTGCCGGGCACCTTCCAAACCCAGAGGGCGATGCAGCCCCTGCCCCGAGGAGCATGCAGGCTGCGACAGAGAGGTCAGCTGCAGGAACTGCATCCACACTCACGCGGGTCTCGTATTAACAGGCATCAGCGCGGCTTTCGTTCTTCAGAAGCTGATAAACAAGAAGCTGCCCTACCCCCTGCAGTGGAACGTGCTGCTGTCTGTAGGTCAGTACTCAATGCACGCTGGGCCTCTCGGTCAGCCCCCGGCCCCCAGAGGTTCCATCAACGGGGCAGGCATGCAGCGTCTGCCCTTCATGGTTACACTCGTAGCAGTCCAAGGTCCTGGGGTTTGCCTGTAGTTCATGAGAGCCGGGAACAGGACTCACAGCGCTGTCTTACCAGAGGAGGATCCTCCCTCGCTCCCACCTGTCTATTTCTGTGTGATTTATTGAAACCCCTGCTTCCCTTCAAAGTGCTCAGACTGGCTCAGGCCACCTGCGCTCACCCCCCCGCTCCTCCCACCAGTGAGTGTGTTTGCAGTGGCACCTGTGGACTTCCAGGGGCTCGCTCCCGATTCACGCGGGTGAAAGTGAGATCAGAATCCGAGTGACGAGCAAAAGGCGGCTCAGAAACTGCCAGCCCTTTTCATGCAGCCCCAGCTGTTCTTCACAGAGAGCAGGACCCCACCTGCTGGGAAGCCGCTGCTTCCAGAGGGACTTGGAAACACCCCTGCCTCTTGGTGCTTTTAGTTGCAGGTTCAGTCGCCAGCTACACAGTGACCAGGGTAGAGACCCGGAAGTGTTCCAACCTCTGGATCTACCTGGAGACAGGACAGTCCCCGCAGGGAGTAGCCAAAGGTGAGAGGCATTCAGTGCCCAGGCAGCAGTCACCCGCTGTACTTGGGGCTCCGTGTGGCTGGTTTCACTTGGGCTGCATCTCCATTTCTGAAGGGTCCAATAGCGTCCTGCACTTTGTCATTTAACCAGACCGGGGTGGCAACAATCGCTATACAAATCCCACACACCTACAAAGCCCAGGCTGGAATTCCAGGCCTTCCGCTCTTGTGATCAAGGAGAATCCCGTTAATTCCTAGTGTCGCTCC